TAATAAGTACAGTGTTAACCATGAAACAAGAAGATTACAATACAGTCCTTGAATTTGAGGACATGGAAACCAACACTAACAGTACAATGTGACAAGCCACTTCTTGTGGGTAGTTGAATTACAGCACCCTAAAATAGTCATGTCCTAATCCCTAGACTTAAAACTTGATGGTACTTAAAAACAACAGTATTTATATATAATCTATATATGTTGTTGTTGGTATATGCTGTTGAGTCATTTCCAACTCATAGTGATTCTGTATAGGGTTTCCTAGAAGCGGCTGGTGGGTTTGAACCACCCACCTTATGGTTAGCATTCCACTGCTTATCCTCCAGCACCACATCAGGACTCCTACCATATATAAATATATACAATATGAAGTATTTATATACAATATGACTCCTACCATTTATAAATATATACAAAAGTATTTCTACTAGTGGTCTAGTCATACATGCATGGGTTTATTCCAAAATGTTTCTCAACATGTTTCTGTAATTAGTGGATGGCTGCAGACACATTCTTTCAGTGATACATACACTTGTCTGAGTCTCATTAGGCTGCTTTCCTAAAAAGGTCCAATCAAAACCGTGGCTTCGGCTGGATCAGTTCAATTCAAGGTTCAGAAAGTTATTGCAATTAATTTTTAAAATTCCAAAGGGGTCACATCTTGATAGATTTTCCCAAAGGACACAAACAATCATGGGGATTTATTAGGAACAAGTTTTAATAAAATGGAAGACTACATTATGAGACAACCACTGCAAGAGTGCATCTGCTCATTCTTCGAGGGTCGCAAGGGCTGCCCTATGAGAATTTCATTTGTAAATTTTATCCCATCCACCTTCCAGCCCTGATCTTGGCCCTCAGACTTCTTTTTGCTCCTCCAAATCAAAGAACATTTAAAAGGAACACGATCTGTATCCCTAGAGGATGTGCCTGGCCCAAGCCATGGTATTTTCAATCACCTCATATGCATGCAAAAGCTGGACAGTGAATAAGGAAGACCGTAGAAGAATTGATGCTTTTGATGCTGGAGAAGGATATCATGTTTGGTAGGGTGGAGGGTCAGAGAAAAAGAGGAAGACCCTCAGTGAGATGGATTGGCAAAGTGGCAGCGTCAATGGGCTCAAGTGTGGCGGCAATGGTGGGGTTGGTCCAGGACCGGCAGTATTTTGTTCTACTGTGCCTAAGGTCGCTATGAGTCGGTACTGACTCAATGGCACCTACCAACAACAACAACAACAACAGAGGATGCCCAAACTGCCTTTTTGACGTGGTGTCACTGAAGAGCAACGGATTCTTCAGGAAAGGGAGATGGAAACACCACTTTCAGAAGTGTAGAGACCTAGATGGAGGACATGTCAAGAAACAATTTCACATCTTGATATCCTGTTTAATAAAGATGTCTATGGTTTTATAGCAATACTTTCAGACTTCTTCTCTATACCTAAAACCAGAAAAGCGCGCCCACTGCCACTGAGTCAATGCTGACTCATAGACACCAGCCTCATGGGGTTTCTCAGGTGGTACATCTTTATAGGGACAGACCACCTCATGTTTCTCTTACAGAGTAGCTGCTGGGTTCGAAATGCTGACGTAACTTACGTAACCTGCTAATGCCACCAGGGCTCCACCCTGGTCTATAGGCAGGTTAGGTTAGCCATGCTTTATAATATCCAGGTAGAAAGGGAGTGTTTCAACGTCCTTGCTGGACCAGAGGGGGGTAGGGGACATTGGGACTTATGGGACAGAGAGCCTCTGAAGGAGACCAGCCTTTAGCAAAGCCCACCCAGCCCAAGGTCAGTCACCTCTGCGCAGGGCTTGCAGGCTCTGCCGGGCGTGGCGATGCAGCTCCTCCACGCAGGGAGGCCTGGTGGCCGGGAGGAAGATGTTTCTCTGCTGGTGCCACGGTGCTCGGTAGTACATACTCAGCTTACTCTCGACGTCCAGGTTGGAGACGGCTGTGTAAGAGAGAGGGAGAACAAGTATTATACATCAGTGGCTTTAAGCTGTACTGTTGGCATACCCCAGGGTGGGGTGGGGTGGGATGGGAGAGGAGTCTGGGTGACAAGGAAGTTTAGAGTGCTACATTCCCATTACGAACTAAATCCTGGGTGAAGAAAGGTGTGAACTTCACAATATAGATCTCGACAACCTCTGCTCAGAGCTAACTTGGGAGAGCCTAGAACACCAGCCATCTACCTGTGACCCACTAACTTCCTTTCTCCCTCCACTTCTTACCCCCTCTGGTGAACTCATCAACCTGGAGAAGTCCTTGGCCAAGCATGCCTGGGGAGGAGGGGCCCCTGCCTTCCACGAAAGCAGAGAAGAACTCGGGGACGAGTCCAAAGGGCTGCTCTAGCTCCAGTCCTCAGGCAGCGGGCTCTCGGGAGCCCATTCCATGCCTTCTCTGACTCTTCTGGCCCTTGGCTCCTGACCTAGATGTTTTTCCTTATATTGCCATCCACCTAACAACTCTATTGCCTGCCATCTTTCAAAGCATTGCCTCACACACCCTGATTTCACCCAGGGGGAGCAGAGGCATTGAGGAGACCATTGTAGGGGTGATGGGTGCTAAGGGAGAAGAAGCACAGATGGTGTGGGGCCTCCTCCTCCCAAAGTGCAGTCATCTCACTGACACAGTGAGCCAAACCATTCTAAGACAGAGACGACTCCAGGAGTCGAAGATCCAATCCTAGGAACACCAGCTCTTAGAAACCAGGAGGCTTCTGTTGGGAAACTACCACACAGAGGAACTCATTAGCCCCTGGACAATCTGTCAGCCGCTGACAAGAGAAGTGTCCAGTGTGCTGTGTCCTCCAGACCCACTCTGATGGCAGAACTAAGCCACCCTGTTACTCCACCTCATCACCTCTTATTGCTTCTTTTCTGCTTCTATGAAGTGTGTGATTTTAGGGTGTTCTGTCAACCTGGGTGCCCCTGTGCCTCCTATAGGCTTTTGGCTGTTTTCTTCCCTTTTCTTTTTGAAGTCTCATCTACCATTTCACTTAGTCTGAGAAGCTCTACAAGGAAGATGAGCATCTACAGATAAAGGAGAACAACAAAAGGAAAACAAGGGAGAATACTTTCATAGAAGGGGGATAGAAGAAAGAAAACTGGGAAAAAAATCCCACCTTTTGATAAGTAATCCCCCTCTGCAACTACTGCATTGTTGTTGTTGTTGTTGTTGAGTGCCATCGAGTCGGGTCCGACCCATAGCGACCCTGTACAGGGTTTCCGAGGGTGTAAATCTTTACGGGAGTAGAAAGCCTCATCTTTCTCCCGCGGAGCGGCTGGTAGTTTCGAACCACTGACCTTAAGGTTCGCAGCCCGATTCGTAACCACTACGCTACCAGAGCTCTGCATTAATAACTAGTTATTTTTGGTTTAGGTTTTGAACACAACCTTCAGTGGTGTTTTTCCCCCCTAGAAATAATTAATTATAACTACAAAAATTAATAATAGGAACAAAGATGTATTTCCATTGTGAACCAGAGAAACAAGCCCCTGAATAGAGTCAGGCTCCTACTTTGGCCTAAATTTTATCCCCTGCCCACTGCAGTTTCCCATAATCCAACTCAACAGTGCTACTCCAAGGTTCCTCCACCCTGGCACTTTTGACATTTGGGGCTGCATGATTCTTTTGTTGTGGAGAACTGTACTGCCCGTTGTCTAGCAGTATCTCTGGCCTCTACCAACTAGATACCAGTAGGACATAGGTGCAGTTAACTAACAACCAAAAATGTTTCCAGACATTGCCAGATGTCCTCTAGGGACAAAACTGTTCCTGGTTGAAAATCATTTTGCTAACCAGAAGGATATACAAACTTGATCTTTAGCTTTACAACTCTGTGATTCTCCTCCTATCTATCAGAAGGGTACCCATAATACATGTATTCTGAAGTTAAACAATTCAGCCTATTAGACATTAATAAGTACAGTGTTAACCATGAAACAAGAAGATTACAATACAGTCCTTGAATTTGAGGACATGGAAACCAACACTAACAGTACAATGTGACAAACCACTTCTTGTGGGTAGTTGAATTACAGCACCCTAAAATAGTCATGTCCTAATCCCTAGACTTAAAATACCCATGAAGAACAAAGATTACAGCCTTCGGTATGGATTGCACCTCAATGTAAAGAAAACAAAAATCCTCACAACTGGACTAATAAATAACATCATGTTAAATGGAGAAAAATAATTAAAGTTGTCAAAGTCTTCGTTTTTCTTGGATCCACAATCAGCACACATGGAAGTGGCAATCAGAAAGAAAACCACATATGGCATTAGGAAAACCTGCTGCATAAGTCCTCTTTAAAGTGTTCAAGAACAAAGATCTCAATTTGATGACTTACTCACGCCACGCATGTGAAAGTTGGACAATGAATAAAGAAGAAAGTAGAAGAATTGATGCATTTGAGTTATGGTGTTAGAGGAGAATATTAAAAGTACCATGGACTACCAGAAGAACAAACAGATCTGTGTTGGAAGAAGTGCAGTCAGAATGCTCCTCAGAAGTCAGGATAGTGAGACTTTGTCTCTCATACTTCAGACATATTATCAAGAGATAAGGACATCATGCTTGATAAACTGGAGGGTCGGTGAAAAAGAGGAAGACCACCCAAAAGATGGATAGGCAGAGTGGCAGCAGCAATGGGTTCAAGTGTTAAAAATTGTGAGGATGGTGCAGTACCGGGCAGTGTTTTGTTCTGCCCGGTACCGCATAAGTTGGAACTGACTTGATGGCACTTAAAAACATCAACAATCCCAAGCACCTGTGAATGGTCTTTTATATGAGAAAAAAGGACTCTGCAGATACATGTAAATTTAGGATCGTGAGCTGGGACGAGTACCCCCAAATTATCTGGGTTGTTGTTAAATGATGTCAAGTCGGTTCAGACTCCTAGTGACTCAGGGTAGGGTTCCTGAGGCTATAAATCTTTGAGGGAGCAGAAGGCCTCATCTTTCTCCTGCAGAGTGGCTGGTAGGCCCAAACAGCTGACCTTGTGGGGCCTGATGTAATCACAGTGGTCCTGTAGGAGGGACACAGGAGGAGTAAGAGTTAGACTGAAAGTGCTGGGACAATAGAAGCAGAGGGATAGAAAGAGATCCCAAAGGGCTAGGCTGCTGGAAAAGACAAGGAAACAGATTTTTCCCTAGAGTCTCCAGAAGAAGCCAGCCCTGCCAACACCTTGATGTTTGCTCAGTGAAACTGATTTCAGACTTTTGGCCTCCAAAACTGGGAGGGAATAAATATGCGTTGTTTTAAGCCACACGCCTGTCATATTTTGTTATAGGAAACAAATCCATGTATAGTGGTTATAAGGTCAGACCTGAAGTCAGGCCTGATAATCAGAAGGGTACCAGAGAGCACCAGAGGAGGTATCCCAAGGAAGGAGACTTCTGATGCTGGAACTTGAAAGAAGGATAGGGGTTCCCAAGGAGGAAACTACATGTTCAAAGACACAAAGAGAGGGGTGTGTGAAGCTTGCACAACCATGTGATGCAGCTCTGTGGGCAGACCAGGTCGTTGGAGCCAGAGATAAAACGGATCTTGTCTTAGAATGCATATCATGTATCGTGATATGCTGTGGAGTCGGTTCTGACTCATAGTGACTCTGTACAGGGTTTCCAAGGTTGTAAATCTTTACAGGAGCAGAAAGCCTCATCTTTCTCCCGCGGAACAGCTGGTAGTTTCGAACTGCTGACCTCAAGGTTTGCAGCCCGATTCATGACCACTACACTACCAGAGCCCCTTTAAAATGCATAGCTCAGATGGCAGAAGGCAGAATCTCCAGAAGGTACTATTCAATCTGTCTGGGCAGAACTGATGAAAGGAGATACAGATGGGTAACTCGTGATACTGTAGTGAATAATGCTTATCAGGACAGATTATGAGGGTTGGAAATGCAAAGGTAGAAGTTTTGTAACAAGGAAGGGAGTGATTGATTCTCCAGGATAGGAGCGGAGGCCTCTGGGACCATCAACGGAGAAGAGCCGAGAGCGGGACCCTACCCAGAGAAAGAGAGATGCCTGAGATAAAGACAGAGATGATGACGTGGAGTGATGAAGCGATTGGGGACTTTGGACCCAGAGAGGGAAAGGGACTGTGGGCCGAAAACTAGGGGGAGGAGGGGGAAGTGTAGGGGGCTGGTTTCTGGGATATACCTACCCTTTGTGTGGTTGAGGATGCATGGAGGGGATTGGAACCATGGCAGTGAGATGATATACGATGGAATGAATGTAAAACTAAAGTTCTCCCATGTAAACTATCATATAATTCACAATAAAACATTTAAAAAAAATGCATAGCTCAGGACAAAGATGCTGAGGAAACATCACATGGACAGACAGAGTCAAGGGGAAAGCCCCACACCTCTAAAACAGCACTGTCCAATAGAACTTTCTGAGATGATGGAAGTCCTCTATAGCTGTGCTAGCCACTACCTCACCACTAGCAAGTAATGAGCTGAGTTTCTCATTTGATTTCATTTTAATTAAAATGAAAAATGTAAATAGCTAGATTTAGCTAGCCGTCATTATATTGGACAGCATTCGCCCTTTAGCCCAGTCAGACTCACGGCTCTCCCATGTGTGCAGAGTGCTTAACCATGTGCGCCACCCAGGTCTGTTATAGTCTCTCCCCTTCAGCTATAGGGCAGGTTGTTCCCTTGGACCGAGTTTTCTTTTTCCTGAATGTTCAATCTCTAGGAAGAATTCAAACTCAAGATTATAAATCCCAGGATTATCTCCCTGGGCAGGGGAGAGTATTCTTATGGGAGGAGTCTGATATCAATTTTTCTTTCTCAAACTACTCTATAACGTCAACCCTCTCCTTGGAAACCATAAGTGTTTGATGACTCAGTCGTGGGTCACTGAATATTAGGAGCAAAAGCGTCTAGGAGGAATTGGTGAGGGAGAAGGCAACCTCTTCAGACTCAGACCAGGTGGGAA